GGTAACATGCAAAGCTAAAAAATTACCATCGGCGCAGTTACATTATGGAAGAGTTCAGTCAGTATACAGGTACAAATGACCAGGTTTGGGGAGTATGTCTGGGCAAAAAGGGACGGGCTTTTTAAGGGGACGGTTTTTCTACTAACCTGTGGACAAAACGGTTGGGTCGTGGTCCTCCTGAAGTACAAGTAAGAATCTACAATGCATAATACAGCTTAATAGGAAAAAACACTGTTTTCTTCCTTTGTAAATTAATTAGTGTTCATGCTTATCCCACAATTACGGCATGTTTTAACTTCCGAACATTGTTATAAAGAAAAAAAAAAGTTTTCTGTTATTTCAGATTTATTAGGGAAATGAAATCACTACAAGTAAAACCACAAATAATTCTGTGGATATTGGAGCAAATAAGTGGTTTTTCAAGGATTAGCAATGAACAAAGTAAAATGTGCTGCAGGTGCCTAAGGTTTGAGAGCGTCTTTCACTTGTTGCTGCATCACAGATTTAGAGAAAGCTCCGGTTTAGCGAAGTCTGGAGCCGTGCTGTTCGAAGGTAAGAGCAGCAAAACATCACTGAGGATGTAATAAACATTCACAATCCTCTACATTAAAGCTTACAAACAACACCCACACTCTATGACAAACAGTTCATCTGCTGGATCATAAGTACAACCAGGCAAGAGAGAGAGAGAGAGAGAGAGAAAGCTAGCGCAAAACAGCCTAAGCTAAAGTAACGAGCATCTGAGTAGCATGTAAACAAACTGCCTTGAATTAACGTTGCTAAAAGGAGCAGCAGAGCTCTGAGTGCTGGAGCAGAAAACAACTAGGTGTTAAAGGGGTTTTAAATGGTACAGCAGGGTAGTTAGACACTGTGATGAAGAAAACAGACAATGTTAACCTTGTTCAGACGAGTTAAACTACCCGTAGCAAAAACTGCAGAGACTGAATTGAGACACTATCCTGACGTCAGCACCTCGTGAACGGCCACTAACTACTGTTACTGAAGAGATCTATTTTACTAACAGTAGAGTAAAATCACTGTGTAAAAAGATGTTCTCAGATAAATAGTACAAAGTAAGTCAGTTAAAATGCTCTCTTGAGGTAAAATGTGTTACATTTTTAAAATGCTGAGGGGAGGGAAAAAACATGTCAAATGGTATTAATTTGATAACGTATGATAAGAACTAACTAAAAATAATAGCACCTCTTTAGGCTGCCAGGTGTATTCAGTTTTCCAATGAGGACAGCAACTCAAATCAGCCAATAATTCCAAATTAAAATACATTTATGGGCTTAATGTATTATTAGAGCCTATGACTTAATTTCGGGTAACATAAAACAGTGCATGTTATATAGCTTACAGTCCCTAAATGAGCTACCGAGTTTAGCACTGGCGTAACGAGTCTTGAAGTCTGGCAGTTAGTAATATTCTATGAATCCACCCCCCAATCCAACACAGTCTATAGAGCCATGTCTGGGCAAGGATTGAGGAGTTTTGATTTGCAGACATACAAATAAATTATTTAAAAAGTAATCATATCTGTACTGTTATTTTTTCCTGTTTGTACTCAAGTGAGAAAATGCAAAGAACAAGTTCTTCTTAGTGAAAACCCAATGCAGCTGTCCACTGCCAGAAACCAGTCTCTACATTTTTTTGTCCAGAGGTAACATAGCGAAAGATATGAATGCCCATATGGCAGACATTGAGGGAAAACCTCGGCAGGTATACACGTACAGTGATCGGGTTCATATTAATTGCAAGGCAATGGTGTGAGGGAAGTTTTTCTTCTAACCTGTGGACAAAATTGGATTGGGAAGCGGTCTAGTAAGAATTGTAGAGTAAGACTACAATAATACAAGGACAAACACAGTTTTTTCTCCTATTGTGTTTCATTGGCTTAGTGCACCAAATGAACAATGATATAACTTTGGCTTGCCCAAACCTGTTTGAGGCTTATGACTTCCAATCAATTTCCACAACATGTTAAACAGTTGCAACTACTTCAGACACAGTTAAAAGGACAAACACTATTTTGTTTAAGACGTGTTGCAATCTTTTATTAAAAGAAATAGTAAAACTGTTGGTTAAATGCTTGAAGTTAACGCTTAAGAAGAAAAAAGGTAAGTAAAGCTACACCAACGTTCATCGCTGAAAGAATTTTGTCTAAGAGAACCTTGTTGAATCATAATTGATCATACTCCTGGTTCAGAGCTTGACAAAATGAGTATAACTTATATATGTATACATATACGTTTGACATATATTATATATAAATATATTACTGAATCGATGTCTCTGACCCTAGGCTCTCTTTCGGGCCGTTGCATGTAAAAATAAAGCTCATCATTTCCTAGATATTCTTTAGAGGAGAAATCTTCAAAATAAAACTGTCGCTAATAATATAAAAATTTGTACAAAATATTTTGAAGCACTTGGTTTTGGACTCAGCTTGTAAAATTAAAAGATTGCGCATTTGGACAAGTGCAACAGGTGAATGGCATGAAGCCAAAAAAGCTGTTGTGATTCACAGTAGTTTTTACCTCTCTGGTGGCTGGTGCTCATTTCAGAAGGGCAGTACATGTTGTTGGGGCCTGAACATGTGGTCGACCTAGAGCACAATACAGAGACTACAAATACTCTGCGTCGCGACAGATAATTCGTCTATAATACTGCACCATCCTCCTCTGATGTTCACTAATTGAGACTCTTTCACCATCTTCTACGTTTTATCCTGGTTGCATACGCTGGCACTCGTTGAATCCGTGCGAGTGATTATCTCAATGCAGCACTGCGTGAAAATCATGCTGTATAAGTGGTCTAACTAACCTAGACATATGGTATTTGCCTTTTCGCATCCTCAAATCGCAGTCAATAACATGCAGACTGCACTCAGTTTCCAACCGGACGAGCCAGTTATGACCTCTTTAAGAAATGTGTTTCCGACCTGGTTGGAACAGTAAAAATACAAACACTGTACGGAGAACAAACTACTTACATTTCCCGCCCTCAAGCACACCTTCATCATTTGCTACATGCAAAGATGATGGAGAGTGGAAGTTATCGAACTAACAATGAGGAGGTACAAAACTCTTGTGGCTTCAAACAGACTTCTCCAGAGACACATTATAGAGATTGTTTTTGGTGGTTAGTCAACACTTGATAGATGATTATCCAATCATATCTCTATTAATTGGATTAACAATTCTCTCTCTATAATCTAGAGGTCACAATGCAACCGTACCACGAGACCCAACTTTGTTATTGACTGGAGGATATTGGATTCAAAAGAGTAATGTTGCGGATATACTGTACGTTATTCATGTAGGGAGGCTATAGGAGAAACAGATGGTGCACTGAGGCCACATGCACCAGAGATGGGTTTGGAGACCAAATCCACTCTGTCAAGTAACTGTGAAGTGACATTTGTGTTATTGTCATTAATGTTAATTTTCTATTCATATATATTAAATGAGGAAGGAGCTTTTGGTCCAGACTGGATCAATGTTTTTACTCTAAAGCTTATTTTCCACCAAAACAATAAAATCCCAGAAACAAAGATTATATTTTCAATCTGTCCTGGTCCCAGTCTATGGCATTCATTGCAACAGTAGTTATTTGCCTTTACATGAAATACAAGTAATGATGCCCTGTAGACAGTGGAGACCAAAAGTAAATCCGCAACTTATGTGTCACGTTGCCTGTTACTCCATAAATCTGAACTACAAAGCAATGTCCCATTCACTCCCATACACCCTCCCCCTCGAAATACAGTAATGCGAGAGAGAGAGAGACAGAGACAGACAGAGAGAGAGAGAGAGAGAGAGAGAGAAGAGAAGAGAAAAGAGAGGATGTTGTGGAGCAAAGGGCAAGAGGTTGGAGTCGAGCCCAGTTGGCTTTTTGCAGCTATTACACTAGGTAATTCAGTTGTCCTTACTGTAGGATGCTTGTTTGCTTTCTGTACTGCTCTGTTGAACAAAGTAAAAGCATGTTGTTGACTGAATGAGGATGACTATGCAGACTGACCAACCGCTAAACCAGCTGCTACTATAAAACACAAATAATGACCGATACGAGCCGTGTATCAGCCAATCTAACTCGTAGGTGATCGGTATCGGTGGCAAAAGAACGTGATGGGGGCATCCCTACTATAGACAGAATGGAAACACTCGCTAGTTGAGCAACATAAGGGCTGCAAAACAACCCATAATCCAATAGTCTCTGTAGAAGACCGTGCTATACTGGTAGTCTCTCCAGTCAACAAGAATATCTGATGCAACCCCTGTATAACTGTAAATAATTCATTTAAAATGTTGAAATCTTGTCGCAAAATTACCCAGGAAAAAGGACGTGATGAAAAATATCACATGCAATATATAAACCGAAATGTAATACTGTATATATTGATATAACTTCAGTGTAATTGAAATCTCATCCTGTGTCAGACTGAAAGAGGAAATAAGACAGTTTGGCTTTATCTAGAGAAAAATGCATTAAAAAGTGCTTCAGTCACTCTGACACTTCTAGTGCTTTGCCTTAAAGTGCAGTATTTGGACCATACAACACTGTGAGTAAAAGTCTTGAAAAAAAAAACATGAGTCAAACAAGATAAAGGCACATATCCTTTATATTTGTCGGCTCAGAGTGAAGCAAAAAAGGCTTTGTTTAATTACAAAAACTACAAATGTTACATAGAACTGGATGCATGATTTACACCCATTGTATGTTGAGATGTGATACTGAACACAGAAATCTTCTCTCACAGCTCTCACTCTGGAACAGTGATGCAGATTTTCCTCGAGGTACAAAGAAGGCTCAGTGAAATCATTATGAGCTACATGATTCATGTAGCTCATAATGATATGATTGAATTCAAGTGTACCCAAAGAAGATCTATTCGCAAGGCAAACATGCGTGTGAAGTGTAATGATGGTGTAATGCTCCTACCCATGCAGATAACCAAAGAATATGTGATCTAACGTACTGTGGTGTTCAGTGGCAAAACTATTACAAATAAACTTTTTAAAATTCAGCCGTGACTCTGATATGGAGCTTAAAAATACAACTATACAACTGAATTAACAGCTCAATGGAGCTGAAGTCACAACAAAAAGTTGAATGAATTGCTCATTTTTCAACATTAGTTAATTTTAAGGGAACAAAAGAATGAAATGTATTGATATTCCTGTCTTATTATCCCTTGAATGTAATTGAAATCTATTTTGTTTTTAAGTTTTTCTGGCTTTTTATGCCTTTACTCCAGCTGCAGTGAGAGAGGGGGGATGACATGTAGGGCCACAGGCCTGACTTCAACCCGGGATGCTGCGGCTAGGATTAAGCCTTAATGGTACACAGTCTACTAGGTGAGCCACTGAGGGACTCCCATTATCTCTTTAATTTTTAACATATTCCAGAGCTGTTTTGCAATACAAATATAAATCATAGATCTTAATTAATCTCAACTATTGGATGGATTGTCATGAATCCTATGGATTTTGGTGATCCCCTGACTTTTAAGTTTTCACACACAGCTGGATGGCTTGGCACAACAGTTTACACATATGTATGGTTCTTTGTAGGTAAATCCTACTGACTTTAGTGATACCTTGACTCTAGCGCCACCATGTGGTTCAAATTTGTGCTTTTGAGTAAAATGTCTCAACTAGTTGATGGATTGCCTTAAATTCTGCTACGCACATTCATGCCCCCCCCCCCTCAGGACGAAGTACTGTAGTAATCCCTTCGCTTTTAGCTCTGACATTACATTTAGTGGCGTTAATAAAGAGCTGCAATTACAAAAAATGACCAGTTAGCACAGTTTCTCTCTGCCTATGAAAATCTAGCCAAGGAATATGAAGTAAACATATTAGAGAGAGATACATGAAACTAGTCCATGTTTAAGAAGCAAGTCCATTTTAATATATACATGGGACACATGGAAAATATATTGGTAAAAAACAAAAAAAACAAAACAAAACAAAACAATTTTCTGAAGGGAAAACAATAAGATCATGAGGAAAAAGATTTGAAAGCTTGTCTATTTACAACACAATGGACAGAGTGTCTGCGACCATTTGAATGGCCATGAGAGGGTCCACAATGTCTTTGAGCTTGTCCTTTCTGAGAACCCACTCTGGTGCAAACCTGAAAAACAAAAACAGCACGTCAATTACCACTGCAAATACATGCGCATCATGCTTCTGTCTATCTCAGGCACATTCGGTACATATACATACTTTGGTGCAGGTCTGGATTTACGAGGTGTTGCTTGGACAAAGAAGCTCCCGTTGATTGAGGCGTTCATCTTCTGTTTGATAACAGTTCTTTCTGCGTCCATCTTGTGTTTGCGAGCAGTGAGGCGGTAAATGCTGCGTATCCTATCTATGACCTTGGGTAGCTTCATAACCTCCTAAAAAATAAATAAATTAAAAAAAAAAAAAAAGTTTTTATTACGTTTGCAAAAACTACAATTTACAATCATTGCTTATATTATTTAGGTATTTTAATAATGATATTATATTGGTGTTTTAATTTGGTAAAATATTTTAAAGTCTGTATGTCACAGTAGCTACAGACCACAGCACGGTGCTTGTCTTGCAGCAGGAGTGCAAGAAGAAAGCAGGCCTTGGTGAAGATGCTGCCGCCTTTTTCAGCCACTTTATCCCCCGCCTTCTCCCGGTATCTCTGTAGCAGATCCAGCAGCGTCTCCACAGAGTTTTCCACCAAATACACAGCCTCAGTAGTTTTGTGGTACTGAGGGGTTGAGGGGAGGAGGAGAGGAAAAGAAAGAAAAGAGGGGAGAAAAGTACAAAGATGTTATTAAAATCAATAACTTGTTCAGACTAAGAAACAACTAGAACTATGCAAAGGCATCGAGGAATTCCTGCTTCTTCTTAAAAAAAAGAAAAGAAACAAAAAAAGAAAACTGCCTCTCTTGAATAAATGCACACTGTCCAAACTGCAACAAAATACTATTTACTTGTATACACTATATACTGTCTGAACCTCAATACTAGTTGAAATGTTATTAAATACATGTTTTATAAGTAGTCTTAATGTGCTACAACTTTTTAACTATAATGTATCTTTTTGTATCCTGAAACCTTGGCAGAATTTCCAAGACTAAACTTTCAACTTCTAATTTCACCAAAATGCATATCACATATTTAGATGTAGAATTAATGATTCTGTGGGATTAGAAATCTCATTAAAATGTAAGCCTTTAACACACAACCGTGCCTGACGATGAATACTGTATCTAATTATCTTTGAGTGGACGATATCCAAGGTTGTGATTCTTTGTGAAATGAACTTTGTAGAGGAAGTGTGACAGACACAATAATTCATCCACTTTTTAATTCTTAGATGTTTGTAGTCATTTTAGTATTGAAATTATTAAATCATTTTCCTCACATTTGCCTTAAATGCAAACAGTTTAGATTCACACAGTTAAAAATAGTTTTTCCCCTTATCTTTTTTTTTTTCTCATGCTCTTCACATGAATAAAATTGCAGACTTTGCAGATGCACACTAAATTTTGGGAACAGAAACCACCACCAAAATCATAAAGACCAAAAGAGATTAGCAGAAGGGAAACTTGGCCTGAACGTCAACCATTGTATATAAAGGAACAGAAAGTCTTCAGGGAAGTGAGAGATCAGAGCTGTTGAGGAAATGCCCTGATCATCTCTGCATTATCACATGAACTCACTTCAAATCTGTCCAGTTAGGGGTCATCTTGAAGAATAAGCATATTGAATTTCCAGTCAACATCATCATAACAAAATACCACAGCCTATACATAAATGCTGTTTCACAAAATCCCCTCCCATTGTGGAATGCACAATGATTAATGGCCTCAAAATGAATTTTCTGTATTTAACAAATATGTCAAAAGCACCAATGTCTGGATATAATCTATTATGATGCCTTGCTCAGTTCTTTATTTTATTCTTCTATTTAATTATAATTTTAATGCCTCAACGTTCTCCATTTGTATATTTCTTTCATGTCATCTTATTTCACCATTTCAATCGTGTTTGCTTTGTTTTTGAGGTTAGGAAAGGAGTATTTATCATCCATGTGTTATAAATAAAGTCTAAAAAAAAAACTTAGTGTAGGTGCAGCTGGATTCTCTCTATGAATTCTCCTTTATTTTGACTTTTTTGACATGATTACTTTATGTGGCAGCATTACACATAAAAAAGGAGCAGCTCTGGGTCTGAGGTACCTTTGAGAGGTTAAGGAGGATTTGGATGGAGAAGGTGATGACGTCCATGCAGGGGACGCTCCTGTTGCAGCAGCGGATGAGTGTGAAGATGACATTGGTGGCGCCGCTCTCTACCAGCCGCTCACAGCACTCTGGGGACAGCCTGGTGGCCGTCTCTGTAAACGCGCACAGACGCACAGAGGGTTTCGTGTTAGCATGACATCTTGCTCACATAAATCGGCACAGATAACACGTTGGATTTTTCATTTAGGGAACACAAGTTAACGTATGTGATGAATTCACTTTCACCTCGACAACACAAACAGCTTTTGTTATTACAACACAGAGTGAAAAATAATTGAAGAGGAACTTTGTCTCTGACACATCCTGAAAGTCTTCTTGTTTCTCGTTGCACAACTCTTAATCTGAAATCTGCAATAGAGTGGCTACATTTGGAGGTCATGATTTCCCTAAAAACAACTGTTTGAAATAACTGCTGTAGCAGCAGTATGACATATCAATTCGTGAACCTTATACAGATGTCAGTTAAGAAATTGACGAAAAGTTATTGTAAACTCGTTTCAATGTCTGATTGCCAAATCCTGTATTTAGTTATCTTAGCATTTGTGTAGCCTGATCAGATCTGAAAGCTGGAGAGGCCTCATGAATGATGGCAATATGTCTTCCAGATTACAGACAAGGCCAAGTTGCTTTTGGTGTAGCACTAGTAATATGTGATCTAATACAGGCTTACGCCCACCTGGTCCCACCATACCAACCTTTGCAGGTTTCTCTGAGTGTTTACCTGAAATCTGCTACATTTTTTATTTGATCACTCAGAAAACAGTTCGCCAATCAGAAGAGAGGCTCAGTGCTTCCTCTCCTCTGATTGTCTCACTGAAAGGCCAACCAAGAAAAATGATTGATAAAACATTGATTGCATTGTTTTGGGAAAAAGTAACAAGCAAAGTATTACACAATGAGCTCAACAGATGCTATCAAGTCCTCCAAAAGAAAGGAAAACAGTACTTTAAAAAGGTTTGTTGCTTTTGTGAAGTGTGTGGACTTGATGACCTCATTGGTGTAAACCCTGCAGAATGTTTTGTATGAGCCCTTCAGGCAGTAAATATGTAAATTTAATTATGGAAATATAGTTTAGCAATTTGTTTTAAAAAACAAATGGATTTATGTTGATGTTCACTTAAATGTGTGCTTGGCTTGGTTTTCTGTATCTTTGTGTGTGTATAAAGCAAAAGAATGATAAATATAGTGGTTGCTCTTCCACTAAATCTACTTTGTAGCAAAGTATTTATAGTTGCTTCATGTGTCAATTTCCAGAAATGGCCTTACCCAGGTTTTTCAGGGCCTCTAGAATGTAGGAGAAGTGTTTGTATCGAAGGAGGTAGTCCAGTGCAGACGACGTCTTGTTGCACAGTTTGTCCTCCTCTCGGACGCCAGCGGAGACTTGGCGTAAGCGGTGTCTCAACTTCACCACCTTGGGATTGTCATTCAGTCGGCGGGAGCGGTGTCCTCTCCACAGAGCCTGGAGGGAGAAGATGGAAAAAGACAACAACAACAACAAAAAAAAAAACTACAATTAGTTGCATTGTATCAGAGGATGTTTATTATTCTATGCTGAGGGGTGTGGGGGGTCACCAAATGTGGAGACTGAACGGGTAGATCAATTCAATTTTATTGACCTTAGACTTTCAACCATCTATTCAAAGCAAAGATTTTGTTGTGACATTGTGTTCTCAGGTTTATTTATATGATCTGGTAAAGAGTCTTGCTGCCCTCACATGGTCACATGTTCCAGACTGTCAGTTGGAAATACAAGAAGTTGTACTACTTTTTGGTCAGAAACAATACACAGTCTGTGACTGCGACTTTGTCCACTAACGTCGGACTGAAGGAGAGAATATTTCAACACTCCAGCAGTCCATACAAGTACAAAATTTCCCACTGCATCTGAGGGTAGCATGTGTTGTCTTTTTGACATTTAACATCAAACCATCTGAGTTACACTAGAAGGGCTGCTTACGCCAACTTAAAAGTGGTCATCAGCCCTTTGTGAATTTCTACAGAACACAACAGATTATTTCAGCTGTTTGGGAGAACACAAGTAACGAGCAGAGATGACCTGACAGTGTTGTGCAGACATACTTACTTAGCAAGACAATCAAGGAATTGTCAAGAATACAGAGAAGGTCCATAACAAAAAGGCATCAGAAAAGTAAAATTGTGAGTGACCCTAAATCAAGGTGCTCTTTCTACCTTTTTTCCCCAGAGCTTTCAAGCACACATCACAATAAAACATTATGTGGATTTTTTCCTGTCTGCAGTCCATATTACGTTAGACAGCTGATCTTCTGCTTTGTTAGTTGTATGTAATGCTCTACATCCCGTGCTCTAACCATGCACTTGGCGTGAGTCTACTTACTGGAGACTAGTAGCGTCAATAACAATTTCAGAGAGCTAGGTGGTCACCTGTGATGCCAAAATAAAAGTCAACCTTTGACTTTAGTACCTGTGCTTTGACAATCCCCTCTTGAACCCTCTCCTGGCGCCTGAGAAGGAGGAATTTCCGGACGGCCTCCTGGATGACGGATGCAGCTTTGTGGCGACGGGCTAACCAGCGCTTGATTGCTCGCTGGGCTGTAACCACCTTTCTCCTGTCCTCCAGATACCGTCCCCTCTGCTGCCTCGATCTCACCCATCGCTAGGAAAAGACAAGGGAATCGTTTCAAGGCACGCTTTATTTATGAGTTTAATTAAATGAAACAGAACACCGTAATCCTTTTCAGTGACAAATTCTGTTTTGAAAAAAGGGAAACCAGAGCTTTTATCTGTACCTGAACGGTGATGACGGAATGGATTTGTCTTTTAGCCGACTCCAAAGCCCAGTGGGCTCTCAGGGCTCGTTGGATCTTTATGGCGCTGAGATGATGGAAGACTGCAGACGTAAAACGGAGCCTCTTCTCTGCCTTGGCTGCGTCTCGTGCCTGAAACATAGTGACATGCAAAGGATTATAATCATATTTTGTTTATTCTTTTTTTGGTCCATTTACATGACATTTTGATATGGCTTGCTTCCTTCATGACAGGTAAGTGGTGTTCTTTCATTTCAGTTTTGTCTGACCACCATTTCAAATTACCACTTCAAAAAAAAAATAAAATCAATAAAAATCAATAAATGTATGTAAACTAAAGGCTGTCTGGAAAACTACAAAAACGTTAAATTTACATAAAGCCCATTACCTGTCGTCTTGCTATCCAGGCTCGGCCGTGTGTCTGAAGCGTGATGGCAGCGTGCCTCTTACGGATGTAGTTGTTCCTCTCCACCCTGCCGAGCTGCACTGCCCTGATCCTGCGCTGAAGTGTCACAGCTGCCTCTCTCTTCCTTTGGAAGATTCGCCTCTGCACTGAACATCTCCAGCACGACTGGATCACAATGGCAATTTGATGTTGTCGGCTAATTTCCCTCCTGACGCACCAGCCTCTAAATGCTGCCTGAAGGATGATGGTGGATTGTTTTGTTTTCAGAAACTTTTCTCTTTCTTGTCTTTGAAGAACACAGGAGCGATAGTATCTCTGGATGATGATGGCAGACAGTCGCATGGCCTGGAATTTGACTTCCTCTCTGTGCTTTCTGAACACAGACTGGATCACAGTGGCGGCGTGATGCCGACGAGCCACCTCCTTTCTGACCTGCTGCCCTCTGTATGCTGCCTGAAGGATGATGGCTGCTCTGCGCATTTCCAAGTATTGTGTTCTTTGTGCTTTAGCTGCTACAGTTGCCCGATATTTTTGCTGAATGGCGAGGACGGACTGTTTAAAGTTCAGATACTGCTTGCGTTGGGAGTACGCCCTGTAAGCTCTCTGGATAACACTGACAGCCTTAAGCCTTTGTTTGATGATTCTTCTGGATATCATTCCACGGAAGGCAGCTTGTAGATTAATAACAGCTTTTGTGACCTCTTGATAATGTTTTAACTGAAGGTTTCTCTGTTTCTGAGCTCTAAACCTCTGCTGTAAGACACAGGCTGCCCAGCGTTGTCTCTTGAAAGCTGACTGCTGCTTGTGCCTCTTGAAGTTTGCTTGAATGACAGTAGCTGCCATGTGCTTCTTGGCAATGTTGCTTCGCACACAGTGACCTCTGAGAGCTGCCTGAAGAACAATAGCAGAACGTCTCATTTTTAGGAACTTTTCTCTTTGTTTTCTTTGAAGAACACAGGAGCGATAGTATCTCTGGATGATGATGGCAGAGAGTCGCATGGCCTGGAATTTGACTTCCTCTCTGTGTTTTCTGAACACAGACTGGATCACAGTGGCGGCCTGATGCCGACGAGCCACCTCCTTTCTGACCTGCTGCCCTCTGTATGCTGCCTGAAGGACGACAGCTGCTCTGCGCAATCTTTGGTGTTTTTGCATTTGTTCCTTTGCTGCTACAGTGGCCCGATACCTCCGCTGAATAGCGAGGACAGAGGATTTTAAGGTCAGATACTGCCTTCGTTCACAGTGGGCTTTATATGCTCTCTGGATAACACTAGCAGCATAGTGACTTTGTTTGATGGTTTGTCTGGACTTCATTCCACGATAAGCAGCCTGTAACACGATGGCTGCTTTTCTGCATTTATGATAATGTTTCATCTGGAGGTTTCTCCATCTCTGAGCTCTAAACCTCTGCTGTAAGACACAGGCTGCCCAGCGTTGTCTCTTGAAAGCTGACTGCTGCTTGTGCCTCTTGAAGTTTGCTTGAATGACAGTAGCTGCCATGTGCTTCTTGGCAATGTTGCTTCGCACACAGTGACCTCTGAGAGCTGCCTGAAGAACAATAGCAGAACGTCTCATTTTTAGGAACTTTTCTCTGTCCAGCCTCTGGAGAACATGAGCCCGATAGTATCTCTGGATGATGATGGCAGAGAGTCGCATGGCCTGGAATTTGACTTCCTCTCTGTGTTTTTTGAACACAGACTGGATCATAGTGGCGGCCTGATGCCGACGAGCGACCTCCTTTCTGACCTGCTGCCCTCTGTATGCTGCCTGAAGGACGACAGCTGCTCTGCGCAATCTTTGGTGTTTTTGCATTTGTTCCTTTGCTGCTACAGTGGCCCGATACCTCCGCTGAATGGTGAGGACAGAGGATTTTAAGGTAAGGTACTGCTTGCGTTCACAGTGGGCTTTGTAAGCTCTTTGGATAACGCTGGCAGCATGGTGACTTTGTCTGATGTTCCCCCTTGATTTCATTCCACGATAAGCAGCCTGTAATACGATGGCTGCTTTTCTACGGTTTTGAAAATGTTTCATCTGGAGGTTTCTCCATCTCTGAGCTCTAAACCTCTGCTGTAAGACACAGGCTGCCCAGTGTTGTCTCTTGAAAGCTGACTGCTGCTTGTGCCTCTTGAAGTTTGCTTGAATGACAGTAGCTGCCATGTGCTTCTTGGCAATGTTGCTTCGCACACAGTGACCTCTGAGAGCTGCCTGAAGAACAATAGCAGAACGTCTCATTTTTAGGAACTTTTCTCTTTGTTTTCTTTGAAGAACACAGGAGCGATAGTATCTCTGGATGATGATGGCAGAGAGTCGCATGGCCTGGAATTTGACTTCCTCTCTGTGTTTTCTGAACACAGACTGGATCACAGTGGCGGCCTGATGCCGACGAGCCACCTCCTTTCTGACCTGCTGCCCTCTGTATGCTGCCTGAAGGACGACAGCGGCTCTGCGCAATCTTTGGTGTTTTTGCATTTGTTCTTTTGCTGCTACAGTGGCCCGATACCTCCGCTGAATGGTGAGGACAGAGGATTTTAAGGTAAGGTACTGCTTGCGTTCACAGTGGGCTTTGTAAGCTCTTTGGATAACGCTGGCAGCCTGATGCCTTTGTTTGATGATTCGTCTGCATTTCATTCCATGGAAGGCAGCTTGTAAGACAACAGCAGCCTTTCTCTTGGCACTCAGGGCGTGCATCTTCTCTCTCATGTCTTTATTGGCTCTATAACGTGCTTGCACTACATTGGCAGCCCAGCACAGCCTCTTGTAGTAGATCTTCTGCTGGTACTTTCGGAAGTGAGACTGAATCATTACAGCTGCCGTACGCTGGATACGCAACTGCTTTCTGACGTTATATCCTCTGTAGGCTGCTTGCAGACAAATGACTGCCCTGTGCTTTGACAGATACTCCAGACGGTCTTTTCTTGCCATGGTCACTGCTCTGTACCTCTGCTGACAAACCAAAGCTGCTGCCTTGACAGCTAAAAACCTTTTTCTATCTCTGATTGTGAGGAATTTTCTCTGAAGGACTGTAGCAGCTCGGTGCATCTCTGTGACCTTCCTCCTGGCCTTGTGGCCACGATATGCGGCCTGGATGACTACAGCCGCAGATTTCATCGTTCTGTACCCCTGCAACTGTTGATCCCTGAGCATTTTGGCTCTGTAGCGTTCCTGAATAATAATGGCAGCACACTTGATGGCAAGGTAAGCCATGCGCATTCTGTGCATCCTGAACTGAGCTTGGATTGCTCTGGCAGCGTTGTGCTTTTTCTTTAGGTCTTCTCTAACTCTAAAGCCCCGGTAGACAGCTTGTATCTTTATGGTAGCCTGCTTTAGCTCTCTGTACTCATTTTGCTGTGCTTTGCAGAGGAGGAGGGCTCTGTAACGACTTTGGATAATAATTGCTGCACTTTGGAGGAGAAAATATCTTTTCCTACATAAAAACATCCTAACTGAAGACTGAATGACGGTTGCTGCCTGTTGCTTTTTCTTAAGCTCTGTCCTAACTCTCATGCCTCTGAATCCAGCTTGAAGAGTAACACAGGCTGCTCTCTTGTACAGGTATGCTTTCCTCATCTCCTCTCCAGCCACATAAGCTCTGTAGTGACGTTGTATGACTACAGCTGCTGCCTTCTTTGACCTGTAAACTGCTTGCACTTGGTGCCGTCGATAGTAAGCCTGTATCAGAGTTGCACGCTGATGCCAGTTTTCTATCCTGATCCTGTCAGCTCTGCCTCTCCAGATAGCTTGTATAAGGAGCGCAGCATTCCTGAGAGCCTCAAAATCCTTCATTGTCTTACGAGCCAAGATTGTGGCTCTGTACTTCTGCTGTATCACAGCTACAGCTTTTCTCAAGGCAAGGTAGCGTCTTTGGGCAGCATGCCTCCTGAAAGCTGCCTGGATCACCGCTGCTGCCCTGTGCTGCTTTTTCAGCAACTCCCGGGCCACTTTTCCACGATAGACTGCCTGTATGGTAACAGCAGCATATCTCAGCCTCACAAACATTTGCCTTTCCCCGTCTCTTCTCACAGTGGCCCTGAACCAGCGCTGAATTGTGATTGTAGCACATCTCATCCTTGCCACCTGTTTTCTGACAGCATGCCCTCTGAACGCACTCTGGATGACAATAGCCGAGTGCTGCTGTAGCTTCAACATCTTAAAGCAGTGCCTCTGTGCGTGACCTCTGTACTGAGCTTGAATGAACACAGCACTTCTTTTGATTTTTCTGTATTGATGGAGACACCTCTGCATTCTGTACCAAGACTGAATCCTTACAGCAGCCGCAATTCGTTTCGCCATTTTTTCCTTGTACCATTTCTTAAACACAGCTTGTATCGCTTTGGCAGCACAGTTTTCCTTTTCCGTTTTCTGGGCTTTCCATCTTCTATAGCCTCTCTGTAATTTCACCACCGCAGTTCTAAGGGACAGATAAGATTCCCTGTCTCTTTTTGCAAGAGCCCGTGCTCGTGAGTGTTTCTGAAGGACTGTTGCTGCCCAGTAGATTTTTCCATAAGCAGAGGCTGCACTCCTCATTCGCCATTGTGCTTGGACAACAATGGTGTAGTATCTGAGGCGTTGGTAAGCCCTCATAGCTGAAAACATCCTCCACTGAGCCTGCATGGACAAGATAAGAACCATCTATTCAAAGAACAATTACAAAAGCAGGCTTCAATATGCAGCAAGTGTCGTTGCTGTAAGAAGGACAGACATTGATATTGTCAGATCAGCAAGTTAAAATAAACACCTGAGAATGCCGAAAAATGTATCCTTTTATTTCAACAGTAATATTTACTTATATTCAAAGCAAGTCTAGATACCAAGTCAAAAAGTCTAAATGGATCATCTCGTACAGCTTTGTCATTTACATTCTGCCGACGGATGCTTTCATCCATGCGTATGTAATAAACACTTACCTGGATGATGGTTGCTGCTTTATGCTGCAGAGCCCGAAGTTGAGCCTCTTTCTTCAGCCTCAGCCTGTTGCGTGCTACATAACCCCTCCAGACTGACTGGATGATGACGGCGGCTTGATTTTGCCTCTTGGCTCTGCGCTTCTGGAGAAAACTCCTCACAACTAACTGGATTTTCACAGCAGCCACGTTTCTTTCCTGTGACCAAACAAAATCAAGAAACAAAATAAATTCATTACTTTTCAGTCATCAGCCTTGGTGACGTCACCCATAGGTTTTTGAAGAGCGGTTTTGAAGTTCAGAGCTCTACCATCGCCATCCTGGCAGCGCCTTACCCCGCCTAAGTCACAGCTAATCCAAAAATCGGCCAAGAGGTGGGGCTTGTGTGGAGCCAAGACTGCAGTGCATACTGATTTTGTGGCAAGCACAAGCTCACCAAGCTGGCACTCAGAGCAGCCTCAAACTTAAACAGGTGAGTTATATAAAAATTGGTCATTAGAGGAAGTGTTTTTGGCCCCATTTTTCAGCCCTGGAAGTTGCTACTTGATACATTGTCAGTATCACAATAATTCATTATAGCAACTTTAAGCAAGAAGGGGACCGATATATTTTTAGCTTCTTTTTTTTTTTAGCGTGAACCAGATCGACTTTTGATAAATCAAAGACAACAATGGTGCAACCATGACCAACAAACTAATAACTGGTACCCCAACAATCTGACAGAAACAGCAATTGTATGACTGAGTTGAATTTGTTTCTTGATGTCCAACAAAATTAAATTGAATAATAAAATTATAATTTTTAATTTTAAAATTTATTATTTTATTTTTAATAATAATTAAAAAACAAAAAATCAGATTAATAAACAGAATCACTTTACAGTTGTAACAAACATTGCACCAACCTTGTAGAGCTGTAGATCTTTCTTTAGTCTGTATTTCCTCCAGGCTCCCTGTATGACCCGAGCTGCTCTGGTCTCGTTCCGCAGGTCCAGCAGGCGAGCACATAAGAAGGTCAGGTAAGACATCACAATCTGGAAATAAACACAAGTGAATGAAGGCAGAGCGTTAGTATTTTACTCTGGTCTTGATATTTTTTGCCCACTGTGGATACTGTTTTTTTTAAAGACGTTTAAGAAAATGTAACAATCATTTTCAAAGTGATGTTCCACAAAAATACATTAGTGTAGGTTGTGATTGCTTTATCGTAAAAAAAAAAAAAAAAAAGATTCTGTCAATTCTTTTTTTTTTGGTAAATAACAGCTGGTGCTGCAGTGAAAACATGATTTGCTGTACACTGGGATAAAATACTGTCGCAATAACATAAGAAAAAATGAGGAGCATTCATATTTCACAGACTAGCTTGAATTTACCTCTTGAAAAACAGATTGTAAACAGACAAAAAACAGAGATGCGTTCATCAGCTTAGATTCTCTAAAAAGAAATAACCCAGTAAGAGTAAGAGACGTGAGTCTTTTAATTGTACCTTTAAGCAAAACATAACTCCAAGACTGCATTTATGACTTCAGACAGTTTATTCAATACTTATGAACATGAATAATATTCTTCTGATGATGGAAAACAAGACAGCTCCACTAAAAATTATTTACACTGAATGAGACTGAAAGTGTGTTTAAATGCACCAAGGAGCCAGAATGCAGTCTCTTCCCTCCAGTAAAAGCTGACATCTTAAAATTCATAAAACCCGGTTTCTGTTATCCTGGTAGGAGATTAGAAAAACCTGATATCCCCAGCTAAGAGATAACTTATTTATTGGCCATACAGTTAACCAAGTTTCAAATTTGCTTTTACACATGTGCATCAAAAGATTGTATGTGGATTTACAGTAAAGCTGCAATGACCAGTCAATGAATTTATTAGTTAAATGACAGAAAAAAAAAAACAACTGTTGATACCCAAATAATCATTTTTGTCATTTCTCCAAAGCAAAAGTACGAAAGTGCAGCCCTAGTTGTAACAGGTAACAGTAAACAGGTTACTACAGTGCATGTAAACAATTATATGTGTAACCTGGTTCTTTAAGTGCATATAAGCACACTGCATGTGGGCTGAGTATTAAACAGACGTGTGTTACATAAAAACACGGCTCCATGCGGTGTATGTGTGATCCTGCAGAGGGAGGAGAAAACCTCCTGTCTGTTCTCACCTTCTCATTGGGGATGGTGTTGGACATGTCAGCCGGGTTGATCATGGCAGGAACTCCGCCCAGGAAAGCCACAGCAGTGTTGACCAGTCTGAAGTTGCTTTTCTCATTTTCGAGTAGCTCTTTAAATTCTACTGATGGAGACTCTGGGCCTGTTCACAAAAAGACACAGATACTGTAATCACAAGTCATTCTATTTTTTTTTTTTAAATAAATTGTATTATTATTTCTGTGTGTATTTATTCTGCTTTAAGTGTACTCTCAACATCATTGAAAATTAGGGCATGCCCTCAATGATTTTTACAGATTTAAGATACAGGTTGAATTCTCTCCAAATTCTTCATAACCTTCACTAGAAGTCATACATACATACAAGTCTACAAACTTGCAATTTACTTTTTAGCCATCATTCAGGGTGAAAAATATTATGCATTAGAGTTAAAATATTGCTCAGATTTAATTAGTTTTAGCCTTTCAATTAATTTCCAAAGATACATCAGTGTACTTTTAAAACTTAAACTCTTTTCATTCCAATAAACAGTATAGATTACACAACAGATGGATTTGCTGTGGATAAAAAAAAAACTGTTATTGTATGAAACATGTTGGAAAATACATTCTGGTTTATTTCTATGTCAGCATTCATAGATTTCCCTGAATTTCTTTTTTAAACTAAATTCCTTGTTTCCAATAGTCTAATGCAACACAATGTCTGTGTGATGTACAAGTAACATCTAACCATCAATTAAAAAAAAAAAAAAAAAAGAAAAAAAAAAGTGCATCCATAAAGACATTTGCACTGAAAACACAGCAGCCAGCTGACATGTACCGTTCAGGCCTGTCGGCAAGGAGTCAAAGGAGCTGTCAGAGTCGCTGGCTGAGCAGCTGAGCTCCAGGCGGCCCCTCGGTGAGCACTCAACGGTCTGTGTGGTGCTGTGACTGACAGCCTCCTCTGGCAGGAGACTGGGGTGGTAGTGGTGGATAAGGTAGCAGAGGACGCGGCCATCCGAGAATGTCACGGTGAAGTTCTCCACCTGCACAGACAGACAACCGACTTAATAAATGAAACTTCTGAGACTGCGACAGGGCTATGAAAATAAGCTTCAACTACAGTGAAGCATTTCTCTAATGCGTCATATTTCGATCAAGGTCAAATGTTATGCTATGTTGATGTTATGTCAGAAACGTGGCTCAGTTAGAGAAAATACCTCTCATATCAAATTAATTGTAATTTCAGGTTGGACATTTGTTGACATTCTTAGGACTAATAACAACAGACAGAGTAGCAACCTCCTGTTCTCTTGTTTTAAAGGGGCTCTTTGTAAGTTTCCTCTGCCACAAAACATGGTTTCTTGCCGGCAGTGATGGTGATGGTCGCTTGACAAGAGCTTCGGCCATCACTGCGTTTACAAAACAAACTCAAGCACTAGCATGTTTATGAGCCAGTTCAAACCCAAGACTGAGATAATTAATCTCAAGGGGTTTATCCTAAAGAATAAACTTCATCATCAGCCTCAAATCCAGATTCAACACCAAACACACGTCAGTATTTTCTTTCGCCTGTGAGCTGGAAATGAAAATGTCAAACTCGCCTTCAGATTGTAGAAGTCACACACAGCACGGACCCAGTCCATCAGCAGGGTAATCTTGGTGCTGCTGTGCTCGTACGGTGCCCGGGTCTTTGCGGGACTCGGCTGAAGGCCGCGATCGGCCCTGAGAGACACCAGCTTCCGTTTGGTTCTCAAGGTTCTCTTCAGGAAGCCGATCTCCTCTCTCAGCTGATCCTCATCCAAAATCACCTCCACCTTCACAGATTATTTGACAACAGCATATCAATCAACTCTTTTCACAGGTTTCAAAAATAAAAAACAAACAAACAAACAAAAAAAAGATTGCAATTTTGTGAACTGCCGGCCACTTAAGTCGGATACACACATGAAATGTGAAGATGATTTTCCACAAGAGGCTCAACGTCTTCTCTCTGTGTCCATCCACAATATCTCTGGAATCAATGGTGGAGCCTGAAAATAAAGACACACCTTTGAACCACATCAGTTAAATGCATTCAAGTGTGTATGTATTAAGCATTAAAGGCTCCTCATTCTCAAACATGAGAACTTTCTCTTTTTTTCTGTTTAACATCAATGTAAATTTAATATCCTTTAATATCTAATATAGTGTATGACACTATGGTGGGAAAAAACATTATTTGAAGGCATCACCTTGCCCTCTGGGAAACTGACAGGCATTGCTCACAGTTTCTTAATTCTGACAATTAGAGTGAACAGTAAATTGATAAAGAAAAGAGTTCTATCGAAAACATAATCATTATTTGCAACTAGTTCTGAAATAATTACTCAATTTATAAATTAGGCAACTGAAAAAAAATTAATCCCCATTAATTTGCTGGCTCCATCTTCTCAGATCCATCTGTGATGGGCAAAACAAAATTAAAGACATGACCTTGCACTTTGGGAACTGAGCTTTTCACAATTTGTGTTTAATTATGTTACAGAATAAAATATTGATGAATGAATCAAAACAAAAATAATAATTGACAGACTGATTGATAGTGAAAATAATTAGTTGCATTTTGGTCCATTAATGCTCATATTACCCATTTAGGCATTAAACACAACTATTAAGTAATTTCATGATTTAAAAAAAAAAAGTCACTTTAAAGCATTATGTCTTGTCTGTTTTGTGATTTAGTGGATACTTTCTTTTAAATGTTATTTTCTTTCCTTGACTACTTAGCCGCTCACAAACGATCCCATTCTTTCACATTCTAAAAGGCAAAGTAATCCAACTGTTGTATTGTACAGCAGCAGCTGTGTGTGATCGAACACAAAAGGTGTGCAGTGAAATGTCAGGAAATCTCATTGCCTACATCTTTTACTTAAGCACAAAACACTGACATTCTTTCAGGTCGAGTTACCCCCCCCCCCCGTTTCGCTGTTTGCCCAGGAGGAAAATTATAATTACCGTGTTCATCCTTGAGGTCGACCCCTTTGCTTTTGAGCCCTTGCAGAGCGATGTCGACGTTGTGGACCTTCTGCAGGCGGCTGATGGCTGGCAGCCGGAGTTTCGCCGACAAACTCCAGTCCTGGATGAGAAGCTCCATCACACGCCTGGAAGGAAACCCAACATGAAAAAAAAAAAAACTCTTTCTAATGATGATACATAAGAAACTTTGTTCTCCTCCACTTTTGACATCTTGTTACTATGGCACTTTTTCACTACACACTGAACCCTACATTGTGAGATATTAGCTAATGACTGTGTACATCATTATAAAAAAGTGCACAGGTTACCCCTGCTCACCTGCTTTACAAGTTGTTATTCTGTGAAGCAGTTTTTATTTTAACATTTGAGAATTCAGCAGTAGGAAAACCTAGGTAAAAACAAAATAGCTCAATGTCAGTTTAGTTGTATGAAAACGTAAGTATTGCCTGTATGTTTCTGGGTCGACAGACTGAAAAAGACAAACGCGCATATGAGACAGAACTATGATCAGCAATACTGTTATATGATCAGGACAGTTAGAGACAGTGAGAACTCCCTCGTCTGAAACTGCTCTGTTTAAGAGTCCGAAACACACACACAAAATACTGCAGTGTAGCTGAGCCTGACCTCTGAGAAAAGCATCTATCCACACCAGGGATCTGAGCATCACATTAAATTTATTATGTTTCACTCACACTAGACGAATGCCGCATTTCAAGTCGACTGCCAAATTCTTCACGGCGAAGTTGAACTCGTCCAGGGGCATCTGAACGTGGGAGACGGGTAACCCGAGGTAGCCGAGGTGCCGGGGAAGGATTCCCTCTCCGCTCAGGAAGTCCCTGGAGAAGGCCAGGAGCAGGTCTTTACTCGTCTATACAGAAAAAATAAAACATCAGAAAGAAGCAGGTTAATGCAGCCCAAAAAGATATAATGAGAGGAAACAGTTAACCTGTCTATGGTATGATACTGTAGGAGAGCCTGGATAAAACCTGGTCTCAGCTGGCAAGTTATTTAAGAGGCAGGTCAAGGTAGTCAAATAAGAACTGTGTGGCATTTACACAAGTTAACACTGTATGATTCTGACACTCAGTCAATCTGATTATTAGATCTAGTGATATGTCTGTTTCCATGCTCCACTATCAGCTTCAGTTGTCACACCCAGTTGAGCCCTGGGGGAACAAGGGGGGTAGTTAAGTAATTATCTTAGATTTTTACATCTTAATTATTATATACTAAAAATAAACCTAATTTTCGATCAGGTCTCAGACAGTAAGAAAAATCTAAATACTGACATCCTGACAAGATACAAATACCATAATGATATAAGAGATCAATGCTGGAGTTTTTATACTGATATTTACCAAATTTACAATTTGACTTATTTGATATGGCTGTTTCTTTGACCTTTAATGAGTTAGTGATTAAATTCTTTTTCATGTATTTAACGTTTGTTGACGACATGGGGAGGCCTTGAACTACCTTGAACTCTGCGTCCACACAGAACAGACAGGGGTCGTGCTCAATCAGTCGGGACTCTTTGGCTTTGTCCAGGAAACACACCAGCAGGAGCAGCTTCTTCAGTGTAAAGCGGGACAGCGCCTCCTCGTGGCCTAAAACCAAAAAGTTAAACAGACATTTACACTAGAGTCCAGACTAACACAACTCTGAAAAAAGGTACACAATGGAGTCTAACTTTCTGAAAAACAAACATGAAACACATTTGTTTTGCTCCATTACAGAGGAAATCCTATTGGTTTTGAATTAATTCCCTTATATTCATCATAACATAATAACGTAACTAAACTGGTATGTGTGTATGTTGTTATACGTAATATGTGCTGTGATTTGCTGCTTTATATGATTGTAATCATATCATGTAATGAATAATCTTTAAGTGTCACAAACAAGACATTTGAACATGTTACTTCAGACTGTGGGAAATTGTCGCGGCTGTTTTTCATTTCTAGCACGTCATACGACTAATGAATGATGTGGGATGAATCAATAATGAAAATATTCGTGAATTGCAGCTCTACATTTCAGGTATTCTAGGCCCTGCAGCATAAGTTGATTACAGCTTTGCCAGTTCAATGGTAAATCAATATAGCTGCAACTACTCTGCCATTAGTTGGAGAGACTTTTATCACATGTACAAATTATTTCGGCACCATGCACACTAATCCATTTTGGAGATATCATCTGAAAATGTCATAGTTGTCAGCAGGAAATTAAAAAGTTTTGTTTAGTCAAGGCGTTTAATTAAAGTTCAACTCATACCTACGTTCTTAATTTTCAATTTGCCTCATTAGTTTGTATTGCTGTCTGTTTATGATAAGGAAAAAGAGGCTTATATTGGTATAGGAAATGTGAACCTGAGCTGATAACCCACACAATATCCCTTTAATTACATTGGATTTAAATGTACTACGTGAAGGCAAAGAAAGCCTCCACCTCAGAATATACCTGAATTTTCTACACCTCTGATAGTGACACACAACATAATAACATCCAACGGTCTTAAATTACCATCTTTGTAAAGGTGAGGCACTTTGGGGTGTCTGAACTCAGCCGCGATGTCCGGGTTCCACAGCAGCCGCTGGAGGATGAACATAGCCAGACCCAAGGCATCGCTGTTGCTCTCAAGCGAGATCAACTCCCCGTAGATGGTCTGAGAAGAAGCAAACGGTGTGTTGAGCATGGATGGCGAAGAAACTCGCGACACAGCAGATGAAAACACTGTCATATCAGAATACCTCAAGTCCTATCCGTAACCAGAGCGGATTGTACGAAAGAAGCCAGTTGAGGACTTTTCGGCGTTCACCTGAGAAAAAAAAAAAAAAAAAAAAAGGAAGAGAAAAAGGAAATAATGTTAATTTCAACCTTATTTGGGTTTTGATAGGAACTTCAGAGCATTTACAAACCCAACATTGGTGCGTTTCATAATTACCTATGTCCTTCCACAGGTGGCGGTCTTTCCGGACAAGCAGCCGCTTGGCCTCCACCTCCAGTTCGAGCCTCTGAATAGCCTTGACCATTGCCTCCGATGTGAACAGCTGGCAGGCAGAACGACGGAGGCGGTTAATCTTCCGCCGAGCCGTGTAGGTGCTGAAAGACATCTCCTCTTTGGTGGGAGCTTTAGGCACACTGAAGTTGTCGTTGTTGCCAATGGCAAGAGATACAGCACTCACTACACAGGAAAACAAGAAAAAAAAATTTAAGACTTGCACAGACGTACAAAGTCCACTTATACAAACACCTCGAGCGTAGATACTCATTTAAATAGAGAATACCTAAGTGTATTTCAGTTATAAGATCTTCAGCGAGTCAATAAATGAGCCGCGAGCTACTCTAAGAGCAAGATCATTTCTATATTTCTTGAAACCAAACACTTGACACTCCTGCCTCCTTTAATTAAGATAAGCTTTTCCCCCAGAGCAATGACAGCCTGCTGAATGTTTGAGTGGATGGATGTTACCTTTAGCAACTTCAGTGTTGACTTTAAAGTCATCTGGGGTGAGGACATAGTTGATCCACCATGTGAATCCCCTCTCCTGCTTCTCAATCCACCTCTCATCGTAGAACATGTTCTTGGCGGCAAACGGCATCGGGTGCCTAGGTATGGCTGCGAGACAAGGGTAGATGCAGAGGTAAAAACAAAATAAAAGTTTAAAGATAGGCAAAAGCAATAATGCTTCCTTTCACATCAGAAAAGCTCATTTTACAATGTCCTGTGGTCAAATACCTGTTTGCACCGGCTTAATAAAGGTCAGCTTTGACTGCGCTACTGCTACGACTTTTGCCATCTTCACAGATGAAGCAGCGGATGACTTCAGAGACGGGGCACCTGGGAGAAGCAGAAAAGAAGGTCGATTTATGCTGGAAAATGAGCAAAAGCTTGTTCTTCATATGGCCATCACCGGTTTGAGTCTCGGTTTTGCTTTCTGACTTTTGTTAAGATACGAATGTTTTCACATCCTTTTATACCTCGTGAGGTGGGTTTGGAGCTTGGAGGCTTTGCTCGGGCAGGAACAGCAGACCGTGTGCTCTTTAGAGATGATGTAGTCACCGAGCGCACTGAGCCTGCAAAAAAAAAGAAGCTTAACAGTAAATACAGAAGGTGCAGAAGCAAGGATGATTTTTAACACAGAAGTACCAAAACATCTCTGAAAACAGATTATTCAACAATTTTCACTGACTTTCAACGCTTCCATTAACATCGATGTGTTACAAAGGCGAATCTGAATATCTAAACTTGCAGGAAACAACCACCTGCAACCATCAGTTTAGTGTGTGTGTAGAAAGAAAAATGAGGGTAATATACCTTCAAGGCTTTATAATAGGAATAAGATGAAAATCTCTTTTAATGATTTTACATTACAACGAAATACGACTTGATCTGGGAGGTGTTTCTATTATTTAAGCTACACTCATGGATATGAATGAGGTGAAGAAACACCTGTGAGTTTAATGCAAAACAGTTTCAACACAAGCAGAAAACCACATCCTCCTCAACGACCATAAAGTTGAATCTGAAAGGGTTATCAAAAACACAACATGAATGACCTCAAAACGAAAGGCAGGAATTCCTACAGGACTTTTGTATTAGACTGCATTAGTTGTGGTTCATAAAATGGCAGCTAAGTACACGATCTATGAAACATTAATGCCCTTAAAAGTGCAGAATTTAGATATTCACTGTATACCATACATGTATAATCTGAAACAGAAGAAATAAACAGACAGACAGTCACTTTGCTCAGCCTGCTGTTCTCTGCTGTTTGCCCCTGTGATGCACTTTCTCCTCTCCTGCACTGAGGCTCTGGTTTTTTTCCAGCCGCCACTTGCTCCTTTTGACCCTGGCAGTTTTCCCGGCATCCTCTAACCGCCGCGGTATCTCTCGC